GCCAGATGGATTCAAAATGCATCCAGCAGAAGGTCCCCCCCTGCAGTGGCATAGCGGTGTGTCTGTGGACTTACAATATTAGGAACTGAGTTTCAATGTCTGTGGAAGGTAGAGCACAGATAACCCATTGTGCAGCTTTGTGCTTAACTACAAACAAACAAACAAAAACATCCAGAAAGGGGAAAAGCCCATACAGACCTTTAAAAATGGATTCAGCATTTATGGTGCAAGTTCACAACATTTCAGCCTACCACCTCAAGCTTAATTTCAGCACCTACAATATCCCTGGTACTATAAGGAAGCCTGTATGATGGTTTTTTATTGAACATGCATCATTAACATCTGTATCATGAAGTGCGACTGTTATCCAATCCACCTCAGCACCTACAATATCCCTGGTACTATAAGGAAGCCTGTATGATGTTGTTTTTCCTGTTCAGCTTTCTACCAGAATGACCATCAATACAATCACAGTAAGACACAAACTAGCCACCTAGCTAATGTTATAGCCACTGTATTTTGTCCATGTATAAATATGCAACCTCCATATCATTGGTAGTCTTTAGTTGAGGATCACATATATGATGCTAACTCAACATAAACTTAGTGTACTGTTCAGGGAGTTTGCTGATGTGTAAGACCAGGTGGATTGGATAACAGTTGCACTTCATGATACAGATGTTAATGATGCATGTTCAATGAAAAGTGGTCTGTCTGAACAGGTACCAGTGCTAGTCTGTAACTATGGTCATTTATGGAGCCCAAGAACAGTGAAGTTTACCTTAAAAAAATGTGGTAGTACTACCTAATCTGCAAACTGTATTCCGTAATTTATTGTGTAAACAGTTTAATGCATTGTTGCATTTGCTAAGTGAAAAATCAACACGTGAAGCACTTTTTTTGCCTATAAAGCAGGCTTCTCTTGCTCTGTGGTAGTACTACCTAATCTGCAAACTGTATTCCATAATTTATTGTGTAAACAGTTTAATGCATTGTTGCATTTGCTCAGTACCAACCAGATTTTTTTAAAGTAAACTTCACTGTTCTTGGACTCAATCTGGTTAGTACTGAATGGTTTTGTTGTAGAAATGCAGTTTACCTGTTGAGCAGGAGAAATTAGCTGATGATTTTCATAATAAAACCATCTCCAATATACCCAAACCTGAACACAGATCAAGGAGAAAACCACCTTTACTTAGTGTGTATCACTGTTAAAATGAAGTTTGCGCTAACTTGCTGAAATAGTGGCTTTCTTTGGAGTGCCCGAGTAAGATTCTGGCTGTACCTAGTATCCACTAAAGTTAAACCACACACTCATGTCATTTTCATTGGCACACCTATGTGATATCTGGTCCATGGTTCTCTGAAACAGCCACCATGATGTTGGTACAAGTTAACTGTAGTTCTCACACAAGTGGATGACCAGATCCAACTCAGGCTGTCCTAGTTTAAATGAGTAGGGGCTGTAGTAGCCATTGTTTGTCACTGCCTTTCTGGCATCTGTTGGCTCAAAAGTTGAATTCGCCCAATAATCCTGTTTGTCAACAACATATGGATATTTGTGCAACAAATGACAAAGCATTTCACAGTTGAAATAAGTGCTCATTTCTTAATGCCCAACATAGATTTGGGTGTACAGTTCCAGCTGTAATGATGATGCTTGAGCCAGGGAAACCATGATGAGCTATTGGGAGCCATGGTTGCTGTACCATAGTGGATTGTGGCAGTTGCTACAATGGAGTCAATGTGTCTTTGATATTTGACGAGCATTTTTAGAATCCTGAAGTTGTTTTGGAGTTAATTTCATAACCATAAGTCTCTTTCTGCTCCAGAACAATATTCAATATTACTATCAAAAACTGAGTTGCCATTGAAGCTGCTTCTATGAAAGACACATTTCTTCAGACCCTTATGATACTGCATGGGTTAATTTGACATCTTCTCTACAAACTTACTAATTAGTACTTGATCATGAAGTGAGAGAAAATGGTCAGGAATGCCCTCTTATGCAATCAGCTTTTAAATCATCCACATAGGCAGTCAAATTCACAATGGGCTTTCCCTTCAAGCTTTGAATATGGATCTGTAGATTGCTCTGTTCTAAACATGACTGTACTTACACTGCAACTCAATGACAATTGTGTCACCTTCATTGAGTTGATATTTATTCAAATGCTGTAATGCAACAAGCAAGGAAATATCAGTATTAAGTATCAAATATTGCATTGCCTTTCTCCGAGTCCATTCATTCCAAGCAACCACTTAAGTGAAATATTTGAGAAAATAGTCCTAGTTTAAATGAGTAGGTGCTGTAGTAGCCATTGTTTGTCACTGCCTTTCCTGCATCTGTTGGCTCAAAAGTTAAATTCATCCAATAATCCTGTTTGTCAACAAGATATGGATATTTGCGCAAAAAATGACAAAGCATTTCACAGTTGAAATAAGAGCTCATTTCGTAATGCCCAACATAACAGCTGATATGAAATATTTTTTTAGATTAAGTTAAATGATATGTCAAGTTATTTTCTGACAGTGATGTTCCAGATGCATTTCATTACTATTTTGGCACATAATATGACAGGATGTCTCAGGTGAATTTTAGGAATATTGAAGCAACTTGTTTAAAGTTATGCTTTCCACTCATGATATAACATAGTCTCTACACAGTTGTAGTGATGAAATTCAAGGAATTCTTATAGGCTTTTCAAGGCTTCGACAAACATCTGTGAAACTTTTGACAAGTTATTTTTTAAAATTTACAAAATTCAAATTAATGCATCTAGGTGGTTTCTTGCAGAGAAAAGTCGTGCAGAAGAATTAGAAGATAGTCTCAAACTGCTGTATTTTGTTTACAACTCTAATAATAAACTCTATAGAACTTAATAGCTAAAATCTGTGTCCCATAACTTTAAGAACATGTTATTGTTAATACTAATCTGTAAAAGTTCAAAGCCTAAAAACATAATGCAGACAGAACTTCATCTGGATACCAAAGTTTTATTTCTGAAAAAAAAAAATACAATCATAAACAGAAAACACAACTTTATTTTAATATCATAGTACATTTAATTCTGGTGCAAAATGAAAAATTTTGGAAAACAAAAAGAACTGAAACACAGCCAAAAGTCTGGAAATTGTAAGACAAATTGATTTTACAGTTTAAGAAGAAATAATTTTTTGCTCAGATCTTTTTCCTTTTCGTTCACCTTCCTTTGTTTTTCTTTGCCAGTTTTCCTCATAGAGTCTGACTTAGTTATGAAAGCAAGTTTTTCTGTTTGCTCATGTTTTTCTATTAGGCTGTCAGCAGACTTATTTACTGTTTTATATCCATTTAAGATGTTCCCATCTCTCTGGTTTTTAGAGGTGTATGCATGGGTATGATTTTTTACAGTAGGTGTCTGAGATTTGTTGGCGATAAATTTCAACAATAAATGGACAGCACACAGTCCAGTTGTTTTAAAATAATATAGTAAAACAAGTCAATCATATATACAAGTGTTCTTTATACTGTTGGTTATCACAGTTGTATCCATAGCTTTAAATAATTCTATTTTTCCCCAAATTCAACATAGGTGGGTTCAACTACTTTAGAACACAATTTGACAAGAGAGATTATTATTTTCTACTCTGTTATAACAATACAATCAGTGAAAAATTCACTTACGTTACCCCGTTGGTTAACACAGTTGTATCTACAGCTTTAAATAATTATCTTTCATGTCAAAGTCCACACAGGCAGGTTCAATCACATTAGAACACCCTTTGACAAGACAAATTATTCTCCTCTATCTATGTGATTACAATACAAGCTGTGATACTTTCACTTTAGAAATCGCCACTATATGCTCTTTATAGCTAAACTCACAATCACGCAGTCTAACTTCACTTTCACGAAC